CCCGCCGCAACGTGGCCCCCGCCGGCCTGGCGCCGGAGGAGGACCTCCACGACAGCCTGACCAAGCTCAGCCTCTCCCCCTGCAAGGATGTCCTGACCCCCATCAGCCTGAAGGACCCGGAGCCGGATGCGGCCGGTCGTGCGCCCTCCTTCCCCCCGCTGGGCCCGGTGTCGGTCGAGGCCCTCCTCGAGGCGGCCCCCCTCGAGACGCTCACCACCCCGGAGGAGGATCGCGCCATGGCCCAGCTGAAGGAGCAGTTCGCCGACCTGCTGCAGGGTGCGCACTTCCCGGTGTCGGACCACACCATCGTGCGCTTCCTGCGCGCGCGCGACCTGGACATCGTACGTTCCCGCTCCTCCGGCCCATGGGCGCGTCGCTTTTCGTGCCCGTGTCTGACGCCCGCCGCTCGCCATGCATGTGCGCCTGTGTGTGTGTGTGTGTGTGTGTATACCCCCTTCCCCCCTCCCCCCCTCCCCTCCCTCCCAGGACGCCGCGGCCGAGATGCTCAAGAATAACATGGCCTTCCGCAAGGAGCGCAACCTCGACCACCTGTCCGACTTCGAGTGCCACACGCCCTCCCGGTGCGCGCCCCCCCCCCCCCCCCCCCCCCCCCCCCCCCCCCCCTCCCCCCCCCCCCCCCACCCCCCCCCCCGCCGATCCGCTGTCCCTTCCCCGAGGCCCCTCCGCCTGCACCGCCCTCCTCCCCCCCCTCCCCCCCCCCCCCGTTGGGTGCCTTGCTTGCCGTGGCCCCGTCGGCGGCGCGCACCTCACCCCGATCGATGCCCCTCGCCGCCGCCCGCGGCCCCAGCGGCTACACCCGGATGCCGGACAACAACGGCGAGAACTCGCCCGCCTCCACCCGGGCCATCCTCGAGAACAACACCCTGTCGGCGCACTTCTCCACCCGCGCCGGGCAGCCGATGCTCATCTTCGCCCCCGGGCGCACCAATGTCCCGGGCACGCTGCAAGCGGCCAACATCGAGCAGACCTGCGAGTTTGTCGTCCTCTCCATCGAATACCTGGCCCGGCATCTCCAGGAGGAGCTCAACGCCCGGTGCGCGCGGGCAACCCTTGGCCCCCTCCCCCTCCCCGCGCGCGCGCAGCCACTTGCCCCCC